GGGAAGTGAAAAAGCAAACACAATACTTGATTACTGTATATAATTCCTGGTTTTTGGCACATAGGCAGGCTGGTAAATGAATTGGTTTCTGGGAAAACTGGCCCTAATGTGAGTGTGGGCGTGTTTGAATCTGTTTGTCTCCTGCGATGGAAACGGGTGGATGTTATTAGCTTAAAAAGTGCTCAAGAAGCGCATCAAAAATCATTTCTTGTGGGACGTTGTCATATACGGTATGCTCACGATAAAGGAATTTGATTTCCTTAGTTTAGAATAAGGGAGATCAAGAGGAGATTATATGAAGGTCTGAGGAGAATGAGATAGGATCCAATTTATCCACAAAACAAGGGCACAGGGCTCACAAGTGGAAACTGAGAAGATCATTCCTTTAGGTTGGAGAATAGCAAACAGCTCTTTAAACAAAGATATGTGGGTAGTCTGAAGCCCCAAACCCCTTCAAGAATCAACTGGTTGATATTTTCTGCATCTAGCTTCACTACATGGGTCCTCTCTTTTGCAGTTTTTCTTATATTTTTACATAAAATCACTTTATGTCTTCTTGAAGGTACATATGGCATATTCATTGCTTGGTTCAGTTTATTGATACGGTAAGCAATAATCCCACTGCTATGGACTGGTTGTGATATAATAGATGCAAATTAATGGAGGTGACCACATTGTGCCCTGATGCATGTCTGTGGCCTAAGACATCAGTGCACGTATCTCACCAGTTATTGTGGATGAGCTGTGCAATAGCGCTGCAAAACCTCAGCTACAAGGGCTGAGTTCATATCAGATGATCCAGGAGAGAAGTCTAATCTCCCATGATACCTTCATTCCTTGGTACATAAACCAAACATTCTGCTCGCTTTTGTAATATTTCTCTGCATTCCATTCAGACATGGAGGAATCTACGTACACAGCCAGATCTCTTTCATCTCTCAGCTTCCTGCAGATACGTCAATTCAGTGTTCCTGCTCGCTTTGCACGTGTCCAAATTCAAATGGATTGAACGTTGGTGTGCAGGAGAATATGTGTATAACCCTGGTTGTGTAGGAATGACCAGTGGTATGTCGAACATGTCTTGTGTTGCACTAACATTGGCTGGAGGATGTTTCCCAAGATATTGATGCCATAACACTGGGCAGTGAGAGAAGTTCTGATGGAACTGGGCACTGCTTGCACGCCACACCATCACTCCTCCTCCTTTGCGTAAAATCCCAGTTTCCTTGGTATGCAGGACACACAGCAGACCATCAGCAGAGCTCAGATTAAACACAGATTGATCAGAAGACATTTGTGCCCTCTCATCTTCCTCGGCCAAGGCCGACTTTGTTAGCTCCCATGAAAGTCAAAGTTAATTTGATGTAATAATCTAGCCAGCATCTATATCACCCTGCATCTCACAACTGGCAACCCACAAACCTAAGGTTGCTGCTAGAAGGGGGGTTAGTGTGGGGCGCTCACCCTGCTATGTGGATCCTAATGTCCCTGAATAGTGACAGGGAAACCACAGTATACTGTAAAGAGGCCCCATCCTTCAGATAAGACGTAAAACCGAGGTCCTGACTCTCTATGGTCAATGAAAATCCCAGGGCGTTTCTTGAAAAGAGTAGGGATGTTACCCCAGTGTCCTGGGCAAATTTCCCCCTGGTCGTTAAAAATATGGGCCTTCTAATAATCCCCATCTATGAATTGGCATAATGACTCTGTTCTCCTCCCCACTGATAGCTGATGTGTGGTGAGCGTACTGGTGCACCATCATCCAGATGAGGGCTGCACAGTGCTGGTGGTGGAGGGGAGTCCCCATTACCTGTAAAGCACTTTGAGTGGAGTGTCCAGAAAAGAGCTACATAAGGTAAGTGTAAGGAATAATTAATTAATGAGTAGGACTCTGACCTTGAAAAGGCCTTCAGAACCACGAGCCATAGTCTGGCAGGTGTTTCTGGTCTGCCCTGTCAGTAATCAGCCTGTTTCAAGAACCTGTGATGGCACTTCTTGCTATAGCACTAGCTGATTGTAACTGGATGTGGAAGTCCTTGTCCTGCTTTGCTGTGGTGCCAAGTGTTAGTGACACTGCCAGGCTACTAGATGAGGAATGGGCTGTGAGTGGACCTGGAGATGACACGCAATCAACGGCTATGACAATCACCATTCCAAGTGCCTCTGCCCTCTCCACAATCACTTTCAAATTTGGAATTGCACCAAGCTATAACATTCATCGAGTGGCCTTTGTATTTCTGTCTAGCTCTAAGGATGCCCTCCCCCTTTTTCCTGACAGCTACCACCAGCTGTCTACGCTGGCTTGCTTTTCAACACCTGGGACATTAATTCGTGCAAAATCTGCAGTTACTGGCAAAGAGAGGCCCAGTTCTGCCATTTGCTATACATCACTGTAATACAGAGAAAGTCTGATGTCTCTCATTGGCTGGCATTAGCTTTGTCCTTTAAAGGGATTATTAAAAAAAAAACATAAAGGGTATATAATAGAAATAGTTACGCTATTATTACTGTACTGTTTTATAGTTCAAGGGACACATGAACATTTTTTTCAGCAGGAGCTAATTTTCAACTGTTATTAATAATCTATGAACAATGTGGCTATTCATAAACTCATTATGGTTTAGAGTCGAGCATGAATACTGTCAGAAACTATTAACTAAAAAAAATGTTTTTTCCATTCAGGAGTGAAGGAGAACGAGTATTGTCTTAACAAGACCCAGCAGGTATTATCTACGGCTTATCCTCATAATCACTACCATAGCAACACTACAACTGTTGAATTGAAACATTCCTATGAATTATACATGTCTCACTTCACTTGATGACTTTGTTTCACACTTCGCTGTTTTCGCCAGATGGCGAAAACACAACCGATCAACCGTTAGCGATGAGAAACCGGAACGTTTGTTTTAAAATATTTAGTGATAGCACGATTAGATGTATGCTTACATTACTGTTCTATAATCCCGTAAATGCTGTATTAATGATAAATGCAACATTTATTTTCAGTATCACAAAGCAGTGAGTCTTTTAATCATATATGACTCCTGTGTTAAGAAGGGTTATATAAATGTGGATACAATTCACAATAACGACGTTTATTGGGTTGAATCAAAAATTCTCTTAAGTTCCTGTTATAGCCTGTTATAGTTAAGAGATGTAGTTCATTCAATACTAAAAACCCTTACACTGACTGTATACTTCCACTACTAAAAAAGCCTAATAAATACAGAGGCTCTACTTTGAGTCGACGGGGATAAGTATTTTACTGTACACATGCTCGTGCAAAATACACCTATAATAGTCTTTATTCACTTGGGAAATTCCTGTGCAGAGTTTGCGAAGTCACCCTCAGCTTTGAGACTCGGCAGATACAGAGACCAGGAATGGAAAATGTAAATATTTCCTTCTTCAGGGAGAACAAATTCCTTATTTTAATTATATTTATTTAATGTACTGTATTCTGCAGTAAGTCACAATAAAAGTTAAAAAGAGGTTGCGAT